TTTTGGATTTTTTCAAAATTTTTTAAAATTTATTTATTTATTTGGTACAGGGTCTCACTACACAGCTAGGACTTGTATTGATGCACCTGGCTCATCCTCCCTAGCCCTGGGATTACAGGTGTGTGCCACCATGCCCAGTTGTGGTGGCTACCCCTCACAGCTTGCAGTACTGGAGATCCAACCCCAGTCCTTGTGCTTGCCTGGCAGGCACTTAGACCACTGAGCTATCTCTAGCCTGGCATTTTGAATTTTAGTTCATCCTTACAAAGTAATTCGGTTTTTTCCTGATGAATTTCCGTTAGACATTCATTTAGTGAGAATCTGTTGGTCATTGACACATTTCTAAGAATTGAGTTTAAAGAGTATTCTAGCAAAGACATGTTTGTTGCTGCTAAATGTCTATAGGCACTACCAGCCTGAGACATTTTAAGTTTTTGACTTGGGTCTTGTCAGATGACATAGATCATATAATTTAAGCCCCAAACCTGGTTGAAGACAGTATTGTGGTTAAGGATTCTCAGGGAAGATTTGTTTTCTTTCTTTCCTTTGAGCCCAACAAAGAGAGATGAGCGTGATCTTAATCATCCTCTCCCTTCTATAGAACATGAGTACTTTTTTCTACTTTACATTGTGAGTACTCTTTTCAGCATTGTAGCTCTGTGTCATGCGTGCCCTATGCCAGGTGTTGGTTGAAGCCTGGGCTTAGGCAAATGCTAGCTCTTACATACTTTTTTAATCCCTGTAGATTTCTGCTTTCTCATCTTTCTGGCCTTTGAGAAATTTCTTCACTTTGCTCGGAGCTCAGAAGCCACTTTTGAGGAGAAGGGGCAGACTTGATCCTGCAATTTTAAATGTGCTCTGAATATCAAATCTGCAATATTATTAGTATGAGCTTAGAGCAATAAAGTGAGTTCTCTTGAGTTATACAGTTGTTTTATAAATTTTACTTAGTTCTTAAAAAGTTGAGTTACTAAATCTATTCAGTGAAATAAGCTTCTACCTATTTATCTGTTCTGAGTCATTGGGGAGTTGAACCCACGGCCTTTGCACAGTGCTAGATTCCTGCCCTTTTTATTTTGAGATGAGCTCTCGCTAAGTTACTCAGGCTGGGCTTGAGCTTATAGTCCTCCTGCTCAGTTTACCAAAGTGCTAGGATTATAGGAGTGTGTCGCCATGCCTAGCTAGACAAGTGTTTTTAAGTAGCACATGATATATTTTTGTGTATTTTAAGAATATTCCAAGTAATAGGGCCAGCCAGATAGTTCAGCAGGCTAAAGTGTCTGCTTAGGCAGATGCAGGGACTGGAGTTCGATCCCCAGATGTGCCATATGGGCCCCAGCCCCGGGGCACACTGAACCAGCTGCTGAGGCCTGGCATGGTGGTGCGCGCCTGTAATCCCAGGGCCTGGGAGGCTGAAAACAGGAGGATCACTGTGAGTCCAATCTAGTAGTGCGACCCTGACTGAATACCCTGTAGACCCTTCCCTAAAATAAAAAAAAAAAAAAAAAAAAAAAAAAAATTCCTGATGTCTGTTTAGATTTTATTTTACTCATGAATTTGGAGTTTAGAAATGTCAAGGTTATGATAATTACGTGCCCCTTTCAGCCTTTAGAGGTAGTTCTTTCAACATCGTCAAAGTGAAAGTAAAGTGTAACCTTTACCAGCTGCTTAATTCTCCACATCATAATTACTGATTTGAACCTTTTTAATAATCCACATGAAATTTGCCAATATCATAACATAAAGGGTATGTTTTGTTTCCTTCTTTCCCCTCCCCTCCCCTCCCTTCCCTTCCTCTTCCCTCCCTTCCTCTCTCCCTCCCTTCCTCTCTCCCTCCCTTCCTTCCTTCCTTCCTTCCTTCCTTCCTTCCTTCCTTCCTTCCTTCCTGTGTATAGTAGTAATACAGACTAGAGTTTTGTTTTGGAAAATTTGTGCATGTGTATGACAGATCTTGATCATTTTAGTTCTGTTACTCTCTTTTTTCCTTCTAGTCTCCTTCTCCATCTTTAAAAGTCTACTTCTAAGTTTCCTGATGTCTTTATTTTATTTATTTGGTTTGTCAAATAAGATAAAAATGTGATATTTAATTTTCTGAGTTGGTTTATTTCTGTTAACATGATGGTCTGCAGCTCCATCCACTTTCCTGCAAACAACATGTTTTCATATATCGCTTTTCTTTTGTCTGCTCATCAGTTGATAGGTATGTAGGTTTATTCCACAGCTTAACTATTTGAAAGTGTGTCCCTGTCAGCATAGGAATGCATGTGTCACTGGCTCTGCAGCATGCTGTCTTTAGTTCTCTGGGGAATATCACAAGGAGTTTGAACAGTTTAATTAAATGGTAGTTCCACTTTTAGTTTTTGAAGAACCTCCATACTGAGTTCCCTAGTGATTGTACTTATTTACATTACTACCAGCAGTGTAAGAGACCCTTACCACAATCCTTGTGAGTATTCATTGTTTTCTCTGTTCTTGGTAATAGCATTTCTGACCGGAATGAGAAGGAATTTCAGTGTGTTTTTAATTTGCATTCTCCCAGTGGATTTTGAACATTTTTCAAAAAGTGTTAAACATTTTTTTCTTATATTTATTGGCTATTTGTACTTCTTTTGAGAAATGTCTGTTCAGTTCATTTGCCTATCTTTTGATAAGATTATTTAGTTTGCAGGGTGTGCTATTGGAGTTCAGGAGATCATGCCTGTGCCTGTGGCTTCAAGTTTTCCTTCCAGCAATTTTAAGGTTTCCAGTTATATACCTAGTCATTGATCCATTTTGACTTGAGTTTAGTACACGGTGAGAGGATTCTAATTTTAATCTTCTGTATGTCCATATCGTTTTCTTTGCTCCATTTGGTAAAAAGCTCTATTTTCTCTAGTGTATGATTTTTGGCCCCTTTGTCAAATTGTGCATGGACTCATCTCTCAGTCTTCTGTTCTGTTCCACTGGTGTACATGCCTGTCTGTTACAGTGGCTTTGTGATATAACTTAAAATGGAGCATTGTGAGGCCTCCAGTATTTTGCTCAGGATTGCTTTAGCTATTCTAATACCATATGGATTTTAGGGTTATTGTTGTTGTTATTGTTCCATAAAGGATGTTGTTGGTATTTCAATAGAGATCACACTGAATCTGGGTAAATTTCTTTTTTTGGTAATATGGTCCTTTTTCATGCAGCCAAGTTATCAACAAGGAAGGTCTTTTCATTTTCTAATGTCATCTTCATTGTCTTTAGTTTCTATAATGTTCACTGAGGTGACTTTCATCTCCTTGATTAGGTTGATTCATAGGTATTTATTTTTGTTGAAGCTATTGTGAATAAAATTTTGCCTGCCATCTTTCTCAGTGGGTTCATTAGCAGTAGTGGCAAACTTATGGCATGCATGTTACCACAGCCTGTTGGTATCATTGAAAGGACTAAAAATTTGCTATTACAGGTGTAGTCAAAGACTTCTGAATTTTGTGTGTTGATTTTGTATCCTTCTGCTTTGCTAACTGTGCTTATCAGATCCAGTAGTCCTCTGGGGAAGTTGTTTTGGAGTTTTTAACATGAAGAATCATACTGCTTGCAGGAATAGGAATGATTCACTTCTCTTTCCTATTTGCATCATTTTTATTTCTTTATCCTGCCTAATTCCTTTGACTACAATTTCAAGTACTATATTAAATAGAAATGACAAGAGCATATGTCCTTATTTCATTCTTGATTAGAGAAATAATACTTGCAGATTTTCCTGTTCAGTGTGATAATTGGCTGTGGGTTTTGTTATACATGGCTTTTATCAACCTGAAGAAAAACCCATTTATGCCTACTCTTTCCAGGCTTTTTTGTTTTCTATGAAGGGATCTTGGATTTTATTGAGGCTTTATCTGCATCTATTGAGGTGATAAAGTGATTTTTTTTCTCCTTGATTCTAGTTAAGTGGTATATTTGTTACATGTATATGCTGAGTCATACTTGCATCATTTGTGAAACTAACTTGGTCATAGTATATGGTCTATGATCTTTTCGATGTGTTACTCACTTTGTTTATAATAACTTTTTGTTTGTTTTTTGATATGAGGGATTGAACCCAGGACATTTACACTATGTTATATCCCCAGACCTTTTTTTTGTCTATTTTTTGACATAAGATCTCACTAATTTGCCGAGTTGCTCAGATTGGGCTCAAACTTGTGTGCTTCAAATTTCCTGTCTCAGCCACCAGAAGTGTTAGGATTACAGGTGCGTACCACTGTGCTAAGCTTGCAAGACTCTTACTAAGGGTTTTTGTAGTTGTGTTCATCAAGAATGTGAGTCTGTGGTTTTCTTTATTAAGTCTTTAAACTATATTTGGTATGGAAGGAATGCTAGCTTCATAGAATGAATTTGGCAGTATCCCTCAATACATAGAGAAGTTTAAGGAGCCTTGGTGTTCTTCTCTAAAATTGTGGTAAAATTCAGCAGTAAATTCATTGGTCTTGGGCTTTTCTTACCTGATAGGTTTTCTTTACTGTATCAATATTATTGCTTGTTACCCATCTGTTCAGATATTTTATTTCCTCTTGGCTCAGTTCTGTTAGGTCATATATGTCCAGGAATTTATCTCTTTCTTATAGAGTTTCATGATTTATTATATGTTGTCTAAATAATTCCTAATCCTCTGGATTTTGGTGGCATGTTATAATTTTGCCTTTCACATCTAGGTATCTTTATTTTTTGAAAAATTTTATATTTGACAAACTATGGTTTTTTGGGTTTTGTTTTGGTTTTGCCCCTAGAGTCTTTATTATTTCATATATTCATGGTCCTCTGGGCCTAAAAACCAAATACTAAGTGGAGTAGGTTAATTTGGGACATACTGCATTATAGGCCTCCCCACCTTAGTTGGTGCATGCTGCATGTGCCTGTTTGGACTTTTATGTAATTAATTGGAAGTATGGTTTGGGTATATACTTATTGCAACACATACTTACACTGATAGTAAGAGAAATGAATGACCTGTTACTCTGTCTTCATAATAGGGTAGCACTGAGCAGCCAGTCCCAACTAGCAAGATTGGGCTGGGCAGGAGAGAGTATCAGAGCTTACAGCATCGCCACCATTCTCAGCGCTCTAAGTGCCGTCCACCAAAGGGCATGTACCTGACCCAGGAAGACGTGGTCGCAGTTTCCTGTAGTCCCAATGCGGCCAACACAATCCTGAGGCAACTGGACATGGAGCTGATCTCACTAAAACGCCAGGTATTTAAAACACACAAACACCTCAGTATATTTATTGGAGGAAAGAACCTTCTGTCTGAGAGAGGGACAGAATGGAGCCCAAGTGAGTTGCCAAAGACACTGTCTTTTCCAGGGGTTTTATAGAGCAAAACCATAAGGTAAGGTAGGTCTAAGATGGGAAACATGGGAACTCCTAAAATGGGCATAGGGTGGGATTCTGCCATGTAGGAGGAGCTCTGTTTAGATCTTTCTCAGCCATCCAAATGAATCTCTGTATTGCTAACTGAACTCCACAGTCTTAGCCAAATTACACAGTCTCCCGAAGCTTCAGCTTCTGTCTGGAATGGGGGTAATAATCGAAACTCTCATATACTGTTGGGAAGTATTTACAATGACACATACATACTAATCAAGTGCTTGCCACATCTTGCCTGCTCAGTAAGTAACTACTGTTGTCTTCATCATGAGTACTAGTAGCCATAGTCTTGCGAGAATATCACCATCATCATGTGAAGGCTAAAAGTCAGGACCTCGAGTCTGTGAATCTTTGCATTCTCATTTAAGCTATACTGTCTCTACCTGTGTAACCTTAGAAAACTATTTAACTTCTCAGCCTCAATTACCTGGAAATGAGAATTAAAATATGGTTGTAATCCAAGTTGCTCAGAAGACAGAGGCAGGAGGATCCCAACTTTGAGGCCTGGGCAAGGAAACCTGGTTTCAAAACAAAAAAAAAAAATTAGAGTCTGGGAATGTAGCTTCAGGGGTAGAGCACTTTCCTCACATCCTTGAGTTCAAAATAAACTGCAAAAAATAAAATAAGGTGGTCAAAAGAGATTAAATTAGATAATGTATAACAAGAACTTAAAATAGGGCCTGATAGAATAAGTTCTCAGTGAATGGTTATTAGACCTGTGGCCTTTCTCAATCTTCTTTTCCTGTTGTTGTTTTTTTTTTTTCTATTTTCTTTGTTCTTCCTTATCGCTTAGATGTAGATACTCTCTGAGCCCGGACTTTCTTAGTCTAAATCAGCCAACCCTACGCTACAGTCACACTTTGTTTTTCAAGCTGTACATTTTCTTCAAAGATTGATAGCTGTAGTTCCAGGTGCCTGCTAGATCTTCCTCCAAAAGATTTTTGTGTTTCTCTTTCCTTTTGGTTGAAACATCAGAATCATTTGATTCATCCTTGCCATTTTCCCTTTTCTAGCTTATATAAACTCAGATCATAATCAGTTTATATAATTTATCTCTGAAATCCTCTTTAAATTTTTATTCATTTGCTTGGTTTGGGGCTTGCATGTGTGTTTGTTTTGAGACAGGGTCTTTCTGTGTAGTCCAGGTTGGCCTTAAACTTGCCATGTGGCTCAGTCTGGACTCAGTTGAGGTCATTCTGCCTCAGCCTCCATAGTGCTGAGATTACAGACCAGTGTCACTATGTCTGGGCTGACTGCCCCCATTTGACCCTATTACTACTGACTTGTTTCAGACTTTACCTCCTCTTGTGTGACGGTAACCTTATTCTTTCTGTCAGCTTCTCTTTAGCTCTAGGTGACAGTTTCCAGAGCCAACATTTAAAATGTTGGCCTGATGAAGTTCACTCCTCTAACTACTCACCTTTAACAGGCTACAGAGGAGGTAGACAGGGTTCGTAAAGGTGGTGTCACGAGCTTTGAAATTCAGCATGAATAGGAAATGCTGAAGGACTTTTAAAACAGCTGGGCTGTGGTCATTTCATATTTAGTTTTCAGCTACATATCGTTTCCTTTTGTGATACATCCCAAGTTTATCACTTTGTATTTAGAAAACTTGATCTTTAGAAAAACAGATGTTTCATGTTTGTGTGATCAATTGAAAATTTTGATCTTATAGTGTAAAACTATTGAAAAGTTTAAAGGTTGTATGATCTCTCTGCTAGACAATTTGGTTTCACTTCATTTTTCACATTAAATGTAAGATCTTTGCAGTTACAGTATGAGATCACAGTTCTCTATCCTAATGGAACCTGTTCGGATTCCCCTACCCCTGGACCTGATTATTCACCCAAACTGGTCTTCTGTTTCTCCTTTCATAGCAAACTTTCTGAATGAATACCATATCAGCTTCTGTTTTCTTGTCAGCACTCATTCTTTGAATCTTTAATGCTGGGTCTGCCTGTATCCCATTCCCATTCTATCACTGAAAAAGCCTATCCTAAGAGCATCTATGTCTGGAAAGAGTGGTGCACACCCATAATCCCAGCATTTCAGGAAGCAGAGGTGGGCAGATTGCGAGTTTAAGGCCAGCCTTGGCAATTTAACAAGACCCTGGCCCTTCCCACCCCAAAAAAGTCCTCTATGAATGAATCACCAGGTTTGATGGCTTCTTGGTTTTCTCTCCCTTGACTACTCAGTAATGTTTGCCACTGTGAGCCACTTCTAGTTTCTTGAATTCCTTTCTTTAGACTTTTGTGATCCTGCCCCGTCCTAGGGGATTAAGTTCTTAGTCCTAGGCAGAATGAATGTTTATGAAAAAGACTCCTGTCTTCTAAAATACAACACTTTCCTAGAAAACCTGCATTATTTCGAAAGTTCCCAAAAAAACCAAAAGAATAAATTATGCACAGTCACCTGTATTCATACTTTCATCCTCAGTATTACTACCATTCATAGTAGGCTGCTTTTTCTGGCTTTTAAACTTTATTTTAAGCTTTAATCTTTTCCCTGGCACTGTCACATGATAAAGATTTGTCTTTGCGAGTTTATCTCAGACACATAGACACATACATCATGTCCAGGCTTATTCTTGTGTCCCCACCAGTTGTCCTGCACCCCTTTTTGCGTTCCCTGTTTCAATGAGCTACATACACTCATCCACTCAGCTGACCAGCTATCCTGATTCTTCCTCATTGTCCACAATGAAGTGTTTACAAAGAGGTCTTAGTTTCGTTTCTAATGTTTTTCTCTACTCCAGTATGTAACATCTGTATGTACCTTTCTTTCATGACTACTGTTTTGTAGAAGTTTTCTTAATTATTTAGTACTTCTCAATTGGACTATTAATCTGTCCTTTTCATTTCATTCTGTTCTCCTTACTACTACTAGTAATACCGTTTTATAGGGAAATGTCATGTTGTTCCCTTCCTTAGGAATACTTTGTTTCCTTTATTCATTTGGCAAAATCCAAATTTTTCAATCTGACCCCAAGCTAAATTCTTGCCCATGCCATTGGTTATTGTTCTTTTCTTCCGGGAGTGCCTTCTTTCTCCACAACCTGTGGCCTGCTTGAGTCTTTGATTGGGGATCAGCTTCTCTAGAATATTCTCCCTAGAGTTCCCTACTACTGATCCAGCCATACACATATAATTAAATTTACTTTTTTTCATTCTCCCTCTCCCTATCCCCCTGACAATGTTAGATGTTTTAGCATTTATCGTTTTATGTTCATTCATCTTCCTTTTGAATAAGGATCCTCTGAGATCCTTGAAAGAATTGACGTTTTATATCTGTGTATGTATCAGACAAGGCCAGGTTAACGAACCATCCAATACACATTAGCTGTCTTTTTAAGGTCTCTCCTGGGGGGGTGGGGAAATTCACGAATTACTTTTAAAATAGTTGATGGGAAAGTGTCCAGGAAGAAAAAAAACAATCTCCACCTTTAATAAAGTTCTAAGTGGAAATAACAGTAGTACTTGTAGAGAATAGTGTAAATGCAGATATAGTGTACTTTAAATGCAGATTGTGCCTCATACATTGTGGCTTTGGAGAGTCTTTACTGTCTTCTTAATCTGTAAAGTGGTTATCATGGAAGTATAGTTAGTTCTGCTGTAACTTGTTTTAAAACATAAAATTTATTTTCAGTGCAGTCAATGTACCAGGTATCGATTTGAGCATAATGTGAATTTTATGTTGCTTAAGTATGATCTGGTGAGTGAAAAACTGTACATAATTCAGATATATACCAGCTACATCAGTTGACACACATCTGATTTTATTTTATTTTTTTATTTTTTATTTTTTTTAGCATCAATCTCAGCATCATCAGAGGGCTTTTATTTTTCTTTGCACTCTTTCAACCTGAGTCAAGTGTACCCACTGTTTCATGCTTTCTTTTGGTCCAAGATAAGAATTGTATCAATCTTGATTTTTTTATGTATATTAATTTTTTTTAGGAGAATAACAATGGTTAGTACATTGTGTATTGTTACTGCCAAA